TTTGGAGGGTGCAGGGAAGCCGTTGAAGCTGTGGGTCTTCCCAGGAGAGCCAGCCTGGTGTTGGGTAGCCCAAGGCTCCCTGGTTGGTCTCTGCTGAAGCCCCTGTCCAGCACAGACCGGTATGTGACTGGGCCTCCACTCTGCTGGGAGCCCCTTGTCTGTCTGCACCTGGCCCTGCTGCAGGGCAATGGGATGAACTCATCATCTCCGTGAGTAGGGTGGAGCAGAGACGGCACAGGCAGACCAAAGGGAAGGAAGCTGCTGTCTGCCCCCACCCAGGGCCAGGCCCAGGCCCACGCTTGGCCCAGAATGAAGTTTTCCACTGATGGCCCCAGCCCAGCCTCACCTGCGTCTTGTTTCCTATCACCTGAGTGAGTTGGCCTGGGTGTGCCTGCTTCAAGGTGGGGACCATACTTGCTGCTCCCTCCTGGCACCCTGAGGCTCCCGCCTGCTCCCCTGCCTGCCTGGCCTGCTCTTGGAGCCAGACTGAGCTGAGCTGCTGGCTGTGATGCGCAGCCATGACTCAGGGCTGGGACTTGGGGTCTTCACCCTCCTCCTCTTCCTCCTGAGTAGTTCCCACAGCTATCCTCAGAGATGAGATGCTCTCCACCTCCAACACCCAGAGAAGGTGGCTTGCCCGGGACCTCACAGCTGGGGACTGTAGCAACAGGGGTTGAAGTGTTACCAAACTTGGAGCCACAGTCTGTACCCCAAGAAGCCAAGTTCAGCCACCCATCCTTGGGAAGCTAATTAAAACAAATTAGCAGTGTGAAGAAGGGAAATGTGTTCAGTGTGGCCACATGGGGAAGGGAGACAAAGAGATCCGCTGACCCTCTCAAGTCACTCTCGGGGTCCTGAAGTGAGGTTAAATCTTTCAGTCGGGAGCCACGGGTTTGAGCATATATGCAGTTCTGGACAGAGTGTGGTCCAGCCACCCATGCCCAGCATTGTTAGGCTTCACTCTCATCCTGTAAGTTGCTCTGACAGTTGTTAGGACTGTGTGCAGTCCTTTCCCAGGAGTCAAGGCCCCCTCTCTGGCTGTAGCCTTTTTCTTGTTCCAGTATGAGATTCCTGGGGAAATTGCTGTTTCTCGGGGTCCGTTGTTTCTGTGGCCTGAAAGTAGGATTGAGGGACACAAGTGTCTCATTTTCAGAATGCCTTCATTTCTGCCTTGCTACTTCTGTCTCTACAGTCTGGGGGCTCCAGGACTGACTCCCCACAGGCCCCAGGCTGTCTGTGGTGCTCTGATTATCTGAGGGGCTGTACCCACTTTCTTCCTGGGGCCTCTGAGCCTTTTTCTGACTGCTCAGGATATGAAAGCCCCGTGAGTCAGCCCCTCTGCCAGCGGCTTCAGCTCGCGTTTCCGTCTCTTCCTCTCTTCTCCGTAGCCGGGCTTCGTGGGCTCCTTCCTGCTTCTGTGTCATTTTGAGTTGATGGAGGAGGGGGAGCCACTGGCCCTGGTTCAGGCAACCAGGACTGGGCTGGCTTTAAAGCCGCCCCCTCCTCCCCTCAGTGGCCAGCTGAGATTTCTCATCTGTCACGTGGTCCTAGCACTGGCTCTTCAGGAATGCTGAGAGACCACATCTGGCAGTGACGGCGCTGCCACCTCCCCCTTCAGCCACCAATCTCCCACATGAGTCTCTTCCGCTTAGGTGGTGGTGAGGCTGCTCTCAGAGCCTGGCTGAGAGCACCGCTTTGTGGAGTCATTTCCTCTCCTTGCATTGGTTGTCTTCATGTCCTCGCCTCCCCTCCTGGCCTCCCCTCCCGGCCTTGAAGGGTTGTAAGTAGTGGGAGGGGAAGGCTTCTCTTTTTCCTTCAGGCTTCCTGTCTGGGATGTGCACGCCCCTCCCCCAGGAGGGGTGCGGGAGCCTAGAGGACTTAGAGCATGGCTGTGTGGGAATTCGGCTGTGGATTCCCCAGGCTGGGAAACAAAGATAAGATTGGGGGCAGGGTTTAGGCTGAAGGAAGGGGCCTGAGTGTGGACCGTTTCATTCATCCGCCCTCCCATTCATCTTCTCATCCACTTCTAATCCATGCATCCATCCCACTCCAATAGGGATCAGCAAGATGGCTCTGAAGGTAAAGGCAGCTGCCACCAAGCCTGAGTTCAATCCCAGGACCCCTCGTGGTGGAAGAAGAAGACTGACTGCCTTTCCATCCAATGAGCATCCCCCTCCTTACTGAGAAGGGGTAGGGAGGCTGGCCCCAGCTCTATCTACCCTTTGCACCCATAGTCCAGAGACCTCCTTATTTTGATCCCTTCTTGCTTTATTTAGCCAGGGCCCAGGGTGCTCAGAACAAGGTGAGGTAGGTGCCCTCAGACCCTGGCATGGTGAAGAGGGTAGAGGTGGATGCTCACTTCTTACTCTCCCTAGCCTCATGGGCTTGGATCCCTTAGGGGGGAGTTAGGAGCCATGAACATGATATCAAGGGTGCCTGGGAAGACCTATCCTGGTCGATGGGTCTGGCTGCCTTAAATCTGTGGATTTTTTTGAAGAGGATGCAGAGGAGAGAAGATGACATTTGGAACAGCATGGGAGAAGGGAGAAGGTTCCAGGAGGCAGAGGAGGAGGGAAGGAGCAGGCTAACACCTAGAGGCCAAGCCTGCTTCATCTTCAACATGGGGCCTGACCTTGGGGGATTAATATATCCTCCACTCCAGTTCCTGTATCCGTCATCCCACACTTAAGAGATGTTGGAAGTATGGGTATCAGGACAGTGTGGAGACACCCACCCTTCTGCCCCAAAGGTGGTTTCTTGAAGGTGATCCCAGCCACTTTGTCCCCCCACTCAGGGCCACACCCTAATAGGAGTTTAGGGAACAAAGGCTTTCAGGAAAGTGCATCCACAAAGTCCCTGGCCTGAAGCTTTTAAGTGTGTGTCCACTCCTGGTGGCAGGCGGTCCTGTGCCTTTCTGCTGCTCTGTTCCTCGGGTTTTTTTTTTTTTTTTTTTTTTTTTTTTTTTGCAGGTCCCCTCCTTGGCTAAGCGTCCCCTTGTGGGCAGCCCTGGACAGGGCTTAGATGGTGTCTGGGAAACAGGTGCTGAGATCTCAGCCAGCCACTCAACTGACAAGATTTTGGGGAAGCTGGTCCTGGGGAAGATGCGCCACCTGTCTGTCCTTTAATAATTCAGGCAGCTCGTGGCTGAAGGGCAGAGATTTTCTGCATTGTCAACACGTTAGCCAACTGTGCCAGCTTTTCCCACTGCCACCACTGGGAGCGATGGCTCTTCGGGGCAGTGGGCTCAATCTGTGCCACCAGCTGCTGTCCACATTCAGGGTCTGTCCTTCACCTCCTGGGAGATAGAGGGCCAACTGCACACCTGCCCCAGCTTTGGAAATAAAAGACCTATGAAATCATTTGTGCAAACCCATCCTTGGGGTGCAGCCTGGGAAATGTGTGGAAGTGGAAGCAGGGCACTGGGGGCGGTGAGGAAGGGGAGCAGGGAGATAGAGGCACTGATATCATCGACAGAGCGCCATCTGCAGGCTGGCATCACCCAGCAGCTGTGTGCCTCACCTAGACCGGCTGAGTTGGGTTTTCTGTGGGGACAAGATGGTTGGGTGGTTCACCTGCAGGGTCTAGGCTGAGGGAGGTTTGGGTCCCAGCTCCCTATTAGCAGCTGTGTGACTTTAGGAAAGTGACTTCATCTCTCTGAGCCCCAGCTTCCTCACCTGCGAATAAAAAACCAATTTTAACCTTGGATAAAAACCCAAGAGGATCACTAATTCATGTGAAAGCCTAAGTGTGTATGAGGGAGGCAATGAGTCCTGTGTGTGAGACCCAGACAACATCTGCCAGACGGTAGCTGCTGTTCCTGTCTGGACATCTAAAGGCATGCGTGGTTGATGAGGGGTAAGCCTGACTTCTGGCGAGGTGAATAATGGCAGCTGCATTCCAGGGGTGTGTGGGGGACCGGTGGTGTGCCTTCTCTCTCCTTCAAGCTTTGCTGGTTGCTCCTGTTGTTGGCATGAGAGGGCCTGACCCCAGAAGCTGGACAGCAGCCAGTACCACACACTTACTCTCCCTTGAGCCTTCTCTGCCCTCCCCATCAGAGCAAGTGACCAGGAGTGATGATTCAGCCCAGACCTGTGTCCTGGGCCTTCACCTCCCTCGAGGGAGGCCCCAAATGCCCTGGGCTGCTAGCAGTGGTGAGGGTAGCCTGGCACCCTGCCCTTCTCAATAGCCCTACCCTCTTCAATGAGAGGTGACCAGCCCTGGATTCAGCATCATCTGTGACATACTGTGTAACCTTGAACAAATGCAGCCCAGGTCTCCGTTTCTCCCTGTGGGGAGCATCTAGGGAGATAGTCCCGTTTGTGTGAGGCCCTGAGATCCCTTCTGTGTCCTCTGTGGTCTGTAGTTCCAGACTTGAGCTCAAGGCAGATATGGGCCTTGCCATGCCATGGGTTAAGGCGGAAGTGGACCCATGTCTCCTGGGAGCCTGGCAAGGCCAGCTTGTGTGGTTAGAGGAGGAATTTTCCTCAGTGTGTGCAAACAGTATCCATTTTCTCTTGTTTCCAAAAGCTGGTGATGTAAGCAGCCCTTCATCCAGTCCTCCCCTCTGGCCTATTTTTAGCCTGGCCCCACAGCTTCTTAAGAGTCTCAGACCTCCTTGCTCAGCGACCATGTAGGGAGGGTAGCATGGAGTGAGCAAAGACAGAAGCCTGTCTGTTTGTCCCCGGGCAGAGGAGAATAGGCACAGGCCGCCAGTTCCTCCGGGCAGGGAGGGGATCTTAGTGAGGTGCTCAGCCTTGGCTGCCCGTGTCCTTACCACACATTGGGAAGGGTCTCTCAGCCAGGCTTTGTTTATCTGCTGTGACATGGGGATGATGGTGGCATCCATCCCACCCACTCTGGAGGCCCGAGTTGCATCACAGAAACCTCTCTAGAGGAAAGCTGGTGCTGTTACCTTTGCAAGTGTCTCCCTGGATTGTCACAGCCCCCTGGAGCTGTCCCTCCCCATCGCATGGTTAATGTTGGGGTACACATTAACCTGTGTGCTTAGCCCCTGTCGCTTCCTCTTCAACCAATGGGTGTGTAAAGGAAACAGTGTGCACAAAGTTCTCAGGCCCTTGCCTACAAGAGACGCCGCGGCAGGGAGGGCTGAACCTAGCCAAGGATTAGGTGTGTGCCTTTGGGCAAGATATTTAACCACTGAGCTTAGTCCCTACATCTGCAAGACTCTAAAACCTGCACCGGCAATTTCTCTGGCCTGTGAGGTGTGCTCCACATAGCCCTGATAATAGTGTTTAGCATGGAACGTTTGCTTCTTAGGGAAGAGTCCCAAAGCCTAGCTTTGGAACTCTACCTTACATGACAGCTGGACCAGCAGCACCTGTGTAGCCCTTCACGGTTTTCATGGGATAGGCAGAAGTCTTTCCCATCTCTGTCCCCATAATACCATGCGTGTGCCTCAAAGGTGGCATTTGCTAACACTGGGCCTTATGGTTAGCACCAGTCCACTGTCTTGTTCCCTAGGCTAGGAGTTTCTGGAGGCGGGCGGGTTTTCCTAGGCCTTTCCTGCCCTTCAGGACGATGAGGGTGGGAACTGGGGGACTGGCAGGACGAGGTCTTCTGACCATTTGTTCTTGCTGTTGCAGATGGGAGGAAGAGCTGGCCAAGCGTATGAATCTTCAGACCATGGTGGACACACTGCAGGAGGTAAGAATCCCCAAAGTCCCCAGCCAGAGAGGATTGCAAGTTAGCTGTGGGGCCGTGATGGGAAAAGTTGGGCAGAGAGTCCTAGCATAGCCTGGGCCCTGATCATTCTCTACTACCTTGGCCATTTACAGGGCAGAAGAGCTCAGGCACAGGACTTGGGAAGTCTGGGTCTTAAAGGATGACTGGGGCCAGCTGCTTCCCTCTCCTGCCTCTTGACCTCTAAGTGCCACTTGGGCTAGGTGGTCTGCAGGTCCCTTTGACCTTCCAACTGCAAGTTCCTCAAATTAGGACTGATAACTTGGAGAGATCTGGGGGACAGATCACCTGGTAGCCCTCAGCCCAAGCAGGCTCTGGGGCAGACCTGAGGATACTCGCCTTGTTGCTTTCTCTGGCTACTCTGCATTCCAGGCTGCACTACTCACACAATTACTGGGAATCCTGAGCAGCACACTTTATCTTCAGCCTGTTTTCCCTTCTCTCTCTGTCACATGGGTCAAGACTAGCAACACCGTGAGAAGGCAAAGCAGAGTTAGTTTATTTATTTATTTTTTTAACAGCTGGGTGTGGTGGCTCACACCTATAATTACTTGGGAGGCGGAGGCAGGAGGATGAGGAATTTAAAGCCAGCCTGGGCTGCATAGTGAGTTCCAGGCAACTTGGGTTGCATGAGACCCTTATTCAACAAAACCAAGCTGGACTGGAGGTGTGTCTCAGTGGCTGAGCTCTTTGCCCGTCGTATGCATAGCTCCAAGTTTGATCTCTAGCATTGAGAAAAATATTAAAAATTAGAACAAATTGTTTCTAAAATTAGTTAAAATTTCAGATTACTTTTCTGACATTTAAAGTATTTATTTTCCAAGAAATTGAGAGACATATCTCAGTTAGTAGGATGCTTGCTTAGCATGCACAAAGCCCTGGGTTCCCAATGCAGACAATGTGTGGTGCACACCCACAACCCCAGCATTTGAGATGTGGAGCCAGGAGGATCCGTTCAAGGTTGAACCGGGCATGTTGTCAGATGCCTTTAATGCTAGCACTTGGGAGGCAGAGGCAAGCTGATCTCTGAGGTTAAGGGCAGCCTGGTCTATAGAACAAGTTTTGAGACAGCTCTGGCTACACAGAGAAACCCTTTCTTGAAAAACAAATGAACAACAACAAAAGAAGTTTAAGGTCATATCCTCAGCTACAGAGGCAGTTTGGTCTCAAAAAAAAAAAAATAGGAAAGAGACAAATGTCCTCTTTTTCTTTATAATAAAGTTTTTTTTTTCAACATATTCACAGCCAGATGTTGGGAAAGTTCATAAAGTCACAAAGGATCAAAATTACCTGCAGTTCTTCCTTCTGGTTTATCAGTTTTGGGTTTTTTTTTTTGTGTGTGTGTGTGTGTGTGTGTGTGTGTGTGTGTACCCTCCCAGCCTTTTCTGCACCAACAAATATGCCCACATCCCAGTCGGCACCTTCAAATGCCTATCTTTGAACAAAGATGTGAAGTTATCATTTTCAAGGCCAAAACTGGTCAGACATTGGCACGTGGTGGATTGGGGGTTGACCCTGTATTTTTAAGTGCTGGGGATCCTGCTGGCATTAACCTACCCTTACCTCCCCATAGCTGCCTCTCTTTTTTCTTCGCCATAAATGACCCCCAGGAAGCTTTGGGAGCAGTCAGCACGGCTTGGTATCCAGGCTGGGATGAAGCTTATGTAGACACTGAGTGTCCAGGTGTCCATCCTCTCTGCCCCTTTAAAGCCTGCCTATCTCCATCCGTCCGCAGGCAGCCCAAGAAGCAGAGGCTATCCAGGAGGAGATGAATGAGAAGATTGAACGTCTCAAGGCCGAGCTGGTGGTGTTCAAAGGGCTCATGAGTGATGTAAGTGGTGTGGCCGTCACCCTAGGTATCATGACCTCCCTTTACCCATCATGCCAAATGCTTCCTTCACTCCGAGGCTCGAGCTCGGCTTGTAGTTACAGTCGTGGCTGGCTGGTTTGTTCCGATGAGGGATGCATCGGGGACCAAGCACCTCCCCACCCTCCCCACATCGCTTCCCTGTGTCTGAATAGAGGTGCTTTAACTGCTGCTTAACCCATCGCCCTCCTCCTCGGGCCCCTGACATCTGTATGTGTCCTCGCCATGTGATGACCTCGGTGTCTACAGAGCACAGGAGACCGAATGGATTTGGCTGTGTCAACCCGAGAGACTTCAGGCTCAGGGAGCACACCCTCCTGTAGGGTGTCCTTGTTAAGTTGGGAATGGCTGGTGTGTGCGTCTTCTTGGCCATCTGGGGTCCCTCTGAGTGACCAACCATGAGTGGAAACAGCCGTTAACTGCATAGGCCTCTTCGACTCTTGGACCTGGGTTTCTTGTCAACCTTAGGAGTGGGTAGTCTGCTAGAAGAGCCCACCTGAGGGAGAAGGAGCCTGGATTTGGTGACTCAGTCTGGCTCAGCTCCTGGCTTTCAGAGACATGCAGTTAAGTGTGGTTAGAAGTTGTGGAGCCCAGGTGGAGGCCACCTGTGTCTCTTCACTTGGGTGCAGAGGGAACCCTGACTCTATGTGACCCTGCTGTCATCTGTGGCAGGAATCTAGAGAGAGTGAGAGCCGCTGAGGTAGGCATGTTATGGGGGACAGTAGGGCATGAGAGTGGGAACAGAAGGGGAGTCTGTGCATTTGTGTATGTGTGTGTGTGTGTACACACATGCATGTGTGCTGGGGAATTAAACCAAAGGCCTTGTCAGGCAACGCACTCACTCACTGAATGACACCAGCCTTGAAAGGGTTTCTTTCCACGGTCTCGGCGCTCTTGTCCTCTACTCCAACTAAGCCAGCATTGCCATGCCCTGCAGCCCAGAGGGGACCAGCACACACAGCCTCACATCTTCCCTTCTGAAGTCCCCATGACCCCTCCACTCTGAGCAGTGCTGACCAACCCTCCACCCTCAGGAAAGCAACACCCAGCCCCGCAACCGACTCCAGGGGCTTCCCCACCCCTAGGGCTCTCCTGTCTCCTCTGACGGCCCCCTCATGCTTGCTTCGCCCCTCGCTCACGTAACCCCTGCTGTCCTCCCTGCAGCCCATGACAGACCTGGACACAAAGATCCAAGAAAAGGCTATGAAGGTGGACATGGACATCTGCCGCCGGATCGATATCACGGCTAAGCTGTGCGATGTCGCGCAGCAGCGGAACTCGGAAGACGTGTCCAAGATCTTCCAGGTGACCAGGGCTGGCCCCTCTTCACCAGTCCCCACCCCAACCCCAGAGCAAGCCCTGACCTCCACCACACCCTGTCAGCGCCTCCACATTTCGTTTAGCCCCTCCCCATCCTGAGGTAGTCAGTCACCTGACCCTCTGGCCTCCCTTAGGGAGACACAAATTTGGGGATTTGTAGTTTACAGCCCAGGGGGGGGACAATAGGATGTACCAAAGAAAGGACATGGTCTAGCCAAGCTGGAACCCAGATCTCCTGGCTCTGCAGACCATGTCCTCCTGTGCCCACCATTTCTCATGAAGCCTCTTTCTCTGAGACTCTGAATTGTTTCCACAGTGGGGGAGCCCTGGCCAGATGATGGGGAGTCCTGACAACTGGTCCTCAGGATCCCAAAACGTTATTGGCATTTGCCTAATTCTCATTCTCCCCAAAGGTCCCTGTACACACACCCCCCCCTCCCCTGGTTTCTCATGCAAGAGAGAAGGCGGTTGGTTGGTACCAATGGGCAGTTCTGGAGAGGGCCTAGTTGTAGTCCTGCTGACACAGGGCACACGTCATTCTCAGAAGTTTTGGGTCATAGTTTGGCTTGTGCTTTAGCCCAGGGCAGTGCAGTGTGTTGTTGCTTTCTGTGTGTGACTCTGGATATAATTGGGGGAGGTGGGAGCCTCCCCCAGTCCTTTCTCCATCTCATGCCTTTTTGCTGCTTTCTGGGGGACTGATCCCTGCGGGGAGCCATGCAGCCCTCATTTGCTTGGGTCTTGTGTGCTTGGAGCAGAAGCTAGGTAAACCTTCCATGCCTCTGCATGTGAGAGGAAGGTTCTGAAAGCATGCAGCTATTTTGACCTTTGTCAGGGTTTCTTGGTTTCTCTGGCTGGCTTTGAGACATCCCAGGTGATGGTACCATGGTCTGGCCTACCATTGTTCCAAATCATGGGCCTGCTTTTCTGGCGATGGGCGAGCCGAGCTGGCCCAATCACTAGGCCTCCCGCGGCAGGACTTGGTCACTGTGTCTGTGTTCTCCACCCTGCATGCCTCATGCCTCACGCTTCCTGCTAACACTGCCTGCTTCTTAGAGGACCTATGCAGAGCTCCCTGCCATGGTGGCTGGCCCCAGCCATACTCCATTTACTCCTTGGGACACTGGTTCCCTTCCAGGCTCACCACCCCCACTCTCCACCTCAGCTAAGCACCCCAGTTACCTTGGTCTCTTCCTTCCCTATCCAGGTGGTCCCAAAGAAGAAAGATCGTAAGGTTGCTTCGGATGATGACATCTCTGAGCAGGACGGGGAGGTGAATCGGTTCTCAGATGAGGAGGTTGGCTCTATGAACATCACAGATGAGATGAAGCGCATGTTTAACCAGCTGTGAGTTCCGAGGTTGCCCAGCAAGGGACATAAAAGAGCCCTGGATGTGATGTGTTCTGGAAGAGTTTGGATTCTCTCTCTGTGTGTGTGTGTGTGTGTGTGTGTGTGTGTGTGTGTGTGTGTGTGTGTGCGCGAGTGTTAGTGTGTGCTAGTGTGGGTGCATGAAGATCAATCTTGGTGCCAGAGATCAATCTTGGGTGTCATTTCTCAGGTGCTGCCCACCTTGTTTCTTTGAGGCAGGGTCTCTCATTGGCATGGGACTCACTGGTTAAAGTGAGTTGGCTGGACAGGGAGCCTCAGGGATCAGCTGTCTCTTCTTCCCTAGTACTGGGATGACAAATTCATACCACCAGACCAGGCTAGCCCCAGATTCATAGATCCGCCTGCCTCTGCTTCCTGAGTGTTTGGGATGAAAGATGTTGCACCACGACTGCTCGGCTCCATGCTTGGCTTTTTAACATACATTCTTGGGATTGAACTCAGGTCCTCATGTTTGCACTGCAAGCACTTTACCCACTAAGCAATCTTTCTAGCCCCTGGATTCATTTCTTAAAAAGAGTTTAAATTTTTTTTAATTTAAAAAATGTACTTATTTTTAAATTTTATATCATTATTTATTTTTATGGTATGAATGTTTTGGCTGCATGCATGTCTGTGTGATGGTATTGGATCCCCTGGAACTGGAGTTACAGACAGTTCTGAGTTGCTATGTGGGTGCTGGGAAATGAACCCAGGTCCTTTGGAAGAGCAGCAGGTGCTCTTAACCATGGAACCATCCCTCCAGCCCTGCTGGATTCTTTTTTAAACAGAGTTTGGGAAACTTCCTGTTTTAAGCCTCTCTTTGGAGGCTCAAGGCCAGATATCACATGGCACCATCCGTGGCTGGGTATCTAGTGCCTCCCATATTTGGGAAGTGTGCCCATGATCCTTTACCCGGGCTTGTAGAACATACCCTACCCAGAGAGGTGTAGGGAGAGGATTGCTTCAACTAGGATTGTCCTTCCTTGCACAAGGGATAAAAAGGCAGGGCTATCCCATCTCTTCCCTCTTCATGTGTAGTCTGCCTGATGACCTCATGCATCTAGGAGGGGCCAGTAGTGTGACATCACCTCAGCGCTCTATCCCCAACCATGCATTACAGGCCCACTCTTCCAGTCTTTCTACGTGGGCTGCTGTGTTGACCCGCCCATGGTTCATGGGAAGAACCTTGATAGTCACCAAGTACCCTCCATGAAATGACACTTGGCTGACTCCAGACTTTCACCAAGCAGACAGCATCATTATTAACCTATTAAAGGCTCTGAGGGGGCTCAGCAGGACACGGCAGAATTGGAACTCAGAGTAACCTGCCACTCCCTAGCATTCCCTCCCCAGGAGATGCCAGCTGAGTGGCAGAGTCTGGCATGAGTAGACAGAGAGCCAAGTGGTAGGTACCAGCCTTTGGGAGCCGTGTGTGTGTGTGTGTGTGTGTGTGTGTGTGTGTGTGTGTGTGTGTGTGTGTTGTTTGTGTGCAGGCTCAGTGATGTCACATTGGTTACTTAGACTTCGTTATTATAAGAAATCTATTCATTCAGGACTCCCCTACGAAACCCTACAGAGAACTGGGCACCAGGATCCATTGAATATATTGCACTGTGGCCTTGGCCTATTTGGTGTTTTCTTCTGAACCCTGATCCATTTTTAACTCTAATCCATACAGTACCCCAAGGTGGGATTGGGAGAAGGCACTGGGTGAGTCAAGGGCAGGACTGGGAACCCCATGCTCTTGGGTACCTGGATCCTGAAAGCTCAGCTCTGCCACAGCTGGCACCATCCAAAGATCAGGCCACCAGCCCCTTGACCTCCATATGAGGGAAGTACTTCAGGACCACAGAGTAGGAAGAGCCAAGCCCACTTAGAGGGTTCAGTCCTCTGTTCCCTTAGCCTCTTCCTGCTTGTAAGAGATGTTCATCTTCTCTCTGCTGTGTCACCGTTCCTGGCTGCTCCCTCTTTGGTTTCGATAGGTACTTAGCACCAGCCGGGTGGAGTTGGGAGTTCTCACCTGACACCTGATACTCTCCCTTCAAACGGAACCAAGACAACCCTGGACATTTGCTATTGATAATGCCAAGGACACCCCTTGACTCTTGGTTCATCTTTCAACTTGAGTCTCCCTCCAGATCTCATGCTCTCACCTTCTACTAACAAGAGGGTGTCCCCCAACCCCCACCTTTTTTTTTTTTTTTTTTTTCCTTTTTTGAGATAGGGGCTCGTGTAGCCCTGGCTAGCCTCAAGCTTGCTATGAAGTCTAGAATGACCTTGAACTTCTGCTCTTCCTGCCACCCCTTGAATACTAGGACCCATGCCTGACTTGGGCAGTGCCGGGAATCAAACCCAGGGCCTCCCATGCGTGACAGGCAATCACTCTCAACTGAGCTGCAGCTCTAGGCTTTTGAAAAGAAATGTGGTTGGGTATGGGTTTTGCTCTGGGAATTCCTGAGTCTAAGTCACTATTGGATGCTCAGAAACCCAGATCGCCTTCATTTTGTTGACTAAAAGAGCTCCTCAGAAGGAATCAGTTGTCTGAAGTATTTCATGGAGCCTCTAGGAATCGCTAGGCTGGTCAGAAGTGAGGTGCAGTGCAGAGGTGCCCATCCAGAGAGCTGAGTTGGGGTGCCTTCACGAGGGCTCCTTCTTGTGTGTGGAAAATGCGTTCAGCTGTGAGTAGTGATCCCTCATGTGGTGGGCACTGGAGTGTTGACAGGGTTCAGTGTCTAATTAGATTTGTCTGGCTTATAGTTGCCTAAATTTAAATAAATAAATAAATAAATAAATAAAATTCCTTGATCGCCCCTATGCCTATCCTGTTGCTCTGGCTGGTTTTTCCTTTCTCATCTGGTATCTCCGTGAGCCCGTGGCCCAGCCCCGTGGTTACTCCTACGGGCCCCAGCCACTTCTAGTGAGGCTTTTGAATGACACACCCGTGTCAGAACTCTGTTTTGTTTTGATCCAAATCAGTGGCTTGGGATCAGTGGCTTGGGCTTCAGACCAAGGCTGAGAAAGGAATTTCAACCGTCTTCCGAAGTCCCAGGGAGGGGTGGGGGCTCTTTCCGTCTCTGCTGCCATCCATCTTCCTGTCCCTTCTGGCTAGCCATGCTTCTGCGGGCCTTCAGGTCTCAGGCGCTGGAAAGGAAGTGAAGTCAGTGGTGGACTATGTGATGTGCTAATGGGTGGACCCCAGGGGCTCAGAATCGCCTCCTTCTCCATAGCCAACCCCAAGCTTATTTCCTGACTCACGGGCGCCATCTACACGCTTCTACAAGAATTGCTGTTGGGCGAGGAACCAGCCTGGTTTAGCTCTAGGGAGCGCTGTGGGGAGTTTTTTAAAATCAGAATTCCATCTGTGTCACTGCCGGTTGGTCCCCAAATAATAACTTTGTTGAATGATGTAGAGCTCAACATGGAGTGGGGGTGGCCATCCTTCTTTTGATCAGAAGTATGTCTAAAGCGGGGCGGGGGGGGGCATCTGAGAAGTTTGTTTGTTTGTTTGTTTGTTTGTTTTGTTTTGTTTTGTTTTTGAGACAGTGTTTTTCTGTGTAGCTTCGGAGCCTGTTCTGGAACTCGCTCTGTAGACCAGGCCTCGAACTCACAGAGATCCACCTGCCTCTGCCTCCCAAGTACCGTCCGGCTCTGAGGAGATTTTTAAAAAAAGATTTATTGTATTTATGTGTATGAGTGTTTTGCCTGTGCACCATGCGTGTGTAGTGCCTGTAGAGTCCATAAAAGGGTGTCGGGGCCCCAGAACCAGTGTTAACAGACAGTTTTCCACCACCATGTGGGTACTGGGAATTATTTCTAGTCCTCTACGAGAGCAGTAAGTGCTGTTCATTACCTAGCCATCTCTGTAGCCCTGGGGAGGGTGGGTGGATTGTTGACACAAGGTTTTATACCATAGTTCAAGCTGATTGGAACTCAGCCCAGGCTGGCCTTGAATTTGATCCTCATATCTCGTCCTCCTGAATTCTGGGACCATAGACATGCCTCACACTACTTTTGACCTGAAACCAGACCTCTAATTGTACAGAAACATTCACGTTTTGAAAGACTAAAACTCTTTTTTGGATAAGACAATTGGCTTTGGCTACCACCCCATCTTGGTTGAGAGCCACCTCACGGGTGCATACACACTGGGGAAGGTGCCCCTTTCTGTCCTCTCTGTATGTGCCCCAGGAGCCTGGCTTCTGTTAAGTCATGCCCTCTGATGTCACCCACAGGCGGGAGACCTTTGATTTTGATGATGACTGTGACAGCCTGACCTGGGAAGAGAATGAAGACACCCTGCTGCTGTGGGAGGATTTTACCAACTGTAACCCGACCATTGACCTGCAGGGCGAGGTGAGCCCAAGACCTGCCTTCTCTGCGGGGTGCCTCTTTCCCATGATCCTTCAGTTTTGCCCTTTTCATGCAGCTCGTGCTCCCCAAATAAACTGTCCCCCCTATCTCTCCAGCAAGAAGAAAACTTGGGCAACTTGATCCATGAGACTGAATCCTTCTTCAAGACGAGAGACAAGGAGTACCAGGAGACGATAGGCCAGATCGAGGTAAGAGCTTGGGCCATGGAGCCTGCTACTGAGTCTGCTGGGGCTGTACAGTTGAGATCCTGAGTGCCCATGGAAATGCAGGCTTACAAAATGGGACAAGCAAGGGGGTCAGGAGTCAGGAGCCTGGCATTGCAAACCTGTGCTTACTAGGGTGTTGGTTTCCTAATCTATAAAGTTGGGCAGTGATTCTTGCCTCCCCTAAAGAGGCTAAGGCAGGTCACTGTCAATAACAGTCTTACCCAGTGCCTAGCATCAGTGGACATCACTCCGAAGTTAGCTCTGGTTATTCTGGGTTATCCTTACCTCCTCCTCAGCTGTAGGGACTGGGTACCCATACAGAGGAGAAAATGATGTCCAAAGAGGCCAAGTCCCTTGCCCACTGTTTCCAAGTCAGGAAGCAGTATTCAGGTCAGTGTTCTTGGTCACTGGTGTACAAGAGTTAATGCTCTTCCTGTATTGGAGAAGGAGAAGCCCAGAGTCCTCCCTCCTCCCTGGAGGAGCAGGTGGCACAGTACAGGAGAAGGCTCAGAGACATGAAGAGTTTCCTGTTCCTGCCCATAGCCAGTTCTTCAGAGATGCTGAGTACAGGGAAGTCCCCTGAATCAGATGGGGCTTAGCCAGACAGACCTCCTCTGGGGTTGCTAAGTGACCATTCCCCTTTGACCAGAAGTATGTCTAAAGAATATTGACTGGTGTGCAGAGAATAAGGAAGGTTGAAACCTACAAGGCAGAGACTTGAGGGCACAGTGTCTTGGGATGGCCTGGGTGGAGGAGGGTGGTTGCTGCTGCTGGTAACTCGAGGTTCAAAGGTCCCCCTCAGCACCTTTATTCTTCATTGACTCTTTCTAGCTGGAGCTGGCCACAGCCAAGAGTGACATGAACCGGCATCTGCACGAGTACATGGAGATGTGCAGCATGAAGCGAGGCCTGGACGTGCAGATGGAGACCTGCCGCCGCCTCATCAAAGGCTCCGCAGACAGGTGCGGCTGCTGCTCCCTAGGCTGCTGTGGTGGGGGCCTTAGAGAGACGTTCTGGGGCTGCGTCATGCCCCTTCGCTACATTTTCATTTTCCTGACCATCTATCTGTCCATCCATGCATCCATGCATCCATGCATCCATCCATCCCTCCACCCATCCATCCATGCATCCCTCCATCCATCCATGCATCCCTCCATCCATCCATGCATCCATCCATGCATCCATCCATGCATCCATGCATCCATCCATCCCTCCATCCATCCATCCAT